GAGGAGGGAGAAGGAGTTAAGGAGGGAGAGCAGCGACGCTACCAATCACTTGTGCGGAGCCTTCTGTACGCCGCTGTACACACAAGGCCGGATATCTCCTTTGTTGTCGGACAACTCGCCAAGGTGGTGTCCAACCCGACTGAGGAACAAGTTGACGCGGCCGAAAGAGTTGTGAAGTACTTGAACTCATTCCCATTTGTCGGAGCTCAATTCTCAGCAACGGCACAGCAGAAGCAGAAGGGGGTGGAGCTGCTGAGGGAGAAGGGAGAGAGGCTACCGGAACAGAAACTTTTCCTCACTTGTTTCTCGGGCGCAACCTGGGCATCGGAGCAGGAAGACTCGTCCTCTGTGGGTGGCTGCATTTGCGTGATAGGGGAGGACCGGTGAGCTAGAGGTCCAAGAAACAGAGTGAATCGGCTCTATCATCTGCCAAGTCCGAGTACATGGCCATGTTTCATGCCTTGAAAGAAATCATATGGCTGAGAAGGCTACTGGAAGAGATCGGTCAGGAGCAGACGATTCCCACGCCACTATACTGCGACAACATGTCAGCAATCGCAATGGCTCGCAACGCTGTCCTTCACGGCCTCAACAAGCACATGCACCTGAAGTGGCACTGGCTGCGCAAGGAAGTTAACCGTGGAACAGTCAATCCGATCTACATCAAGACACAGCAGCTGCCGGCAGATGTTCTTACCAAGCGAGTAGCCGATGAACCACACTGGAGGTGTGCGCGGATGAGCGGTATGAGCATGAACTAAGGGAGACGGGGAGAAAACCGACAGATTGAGGAGGAGTGTGTTAATACAGAATCAATTTTCTGTATATCAATCAGCCAGTTTATCTCCTGGGAGTGCACAAGTCATTTGAGGCGAAAAGCGCAGGGGCGAATCGTTCATGATCGAGTCGAGTGTTCAAGGGGATTTAGCTTCGACAAATGGGAGGCATCAGTTCGGTTCGGTTCGAGCAAAGGACAGCACGGAATTCTCGTTCGCGCTGCGAGTTCGTTGGTGCTCAAAGCGACAGGTTTCGACTGCGCTGATTGGACAAATGCTCGCGCAGCAAAGTTCGTCGTTCTGAGCACGCAGCCAGAACTAGTTTCGATTTCGAACATGTTCAGAACAGGTTCGAACATGTTCAGAACAGTGTTCGAACAAGTTCGAAACAGGCTTTGAAGAAGCTGACGCGGCTGAAGCAGAGGGCGGCTACATGCGCGCCGACATTTCGAGAGCTACACTTTCGCCATTTGGAACACGTCAGCCCAAGAAAGTGCTCACAGCTCGAGCGATCAAAGCACATGGCGAAACTGCTCACGCCACAAGAATTCAAGCGAGGGGACTGGCCCGAATCAGCACGCATGTTCAAAACAGCGAAGCTGACTCAAATAAACAAAACGGATCGATCGGAGCCGTTATCAGAATGGCGCGAAAATCACAACGGATCAACGCCGTTAATAAATTCCGCGCGAACAGCTAAAACATTCGCTGGCGAATCGCAACCTAGCTGAGTCACAAAAATAAAATGAGGGAAACGCAAAAATTGCTCGCGCCTCGCTAAGGATAGGAATTGCTCAGCCATGTTAGGTAGCTAGCAGTAGAAACAGCCTAGAGAATATATAAATGTATGGCCTGAATATTAATGAAACACTCTGCCACACATTTAATCTCACACGCTACTATCAGATTTGACGTCCAACGGACTCTCTGCCCACGCCGTGATAAGGGCTTCCAGTGTTGAAACTCTAGTCTACTGAATTGCTCTTTCAACAAACTCGGACCCTTGGATAGGGGCTGACTTTAGTCCGGCACCCAAGGACCCTCGGAGGTGACCCCGAGAAGAGTTGTTTCAGTAATTGTAGAACCATCAGCAGTAGGAACTAAGTGATTCTGAAGTAACATGCACTACACTCTGTATCCTCTCCCGTTGCTTCTAAATGTGTACGTATTTGCATGTTTGTGTAAGGCTCGTAATAACTCCTGTTGTCTTCTTTATTTGCGTTCAATTCTTGAAATGGCTGTTTCTTGCAACAATTTGTTATAAAGTCAATGGTAAGTTTAGCAGCTTGTATCACGGTCAGATTTTAGGATGACATCATTTGTTCAGTCATTTACTCTTCTATCCTGCCATTTGGTTCATTCATTTCTAAGGATGTATCAATTTCATGGCACCCTTTGCATGTGCTTGGTATCAACGGTTTCACCATCTCGGTCACTATCCACATATAGCTCTGATTATGTGTGCAGGAATAACAATAAAATTATCTTTTTGTATCCGGTGTTTCTTTCCACCCATAACGCCCTACCCTTTTGCATGATGTACCATCAGGTTTCTTGACAACAACAATCTGAGTGGGTCTATTCCATCCACCATCGGAAGCATGCGCGACCTTGTTAGATTGTTGGTATCATCAAGAAATATGAAACAGAGCCTACATGACCTCGTCAAGATTTAGAAGAGGGCTTGAGCAGGTCAACTTGATTTAGGAATGACCATATACGCTAGACATGAGCAAGGGGCCGGGCCGATGGGCTGAGCCAGGCGTCTCGGTGCCAGGGTCTGCCATCGATCTCCACGTATTAGCCTCATGACAAGGTCTTGCAATGTTCAAGAGACAAAATACACGGGCAAAGAAGATTCAAAAACTTCCATCCATGGGCAGGAGAAGTAACGTGAGGTTCTCTAATATCATGCCAGGGCCATGAGACTTAGCTGCCGCTAGTTCTATCAACCCCAAATTAATTCGTAAAGACTAGGCAAGCCCCGAGCTCTCCTTTTCATCAAATTGAAACTCTTCCTTTCAAAGCTGCTGGCTTACAACTTTCCTTCTCGTAATAAAACTTTTTTCCGGTGAAACAAAGACATTTTAGTCTGGACTACCCCATGCTAGACACTCTGCTGGCATTGCTATCTCATCTTGTTTACATGTATTTCCATCCACCACCACTTACGTTGTGCACTCTGTGACCTTAACTTTTGCTTCTGCATGTGTACATGTTTGCATGCTCATGAAACACTAAAAAAAGCGCCTGTTTTTTTTTTATCGCTTTGATTTTGTGTAATGGCTGTTACTTGCAGCATTGTGCTATCATGTCAGCGTTAAAGTGTAGTAGCTTGTTTGTGTTTGTGCTCACAACCAGGCACATGTTTGTGTTTGTGCTCACAATCAGGCACATGTTCGACTTGGTAGCTTGTATCACAATAGGTTGCATGTCATGTTCTCTTCAGTCATTCTCGTTACATGATATCACACGTCCCTCTACTACCATATATTTCCTTCTTCTTTTTCTTTTGTATCAGGACACCCTTTGTATGTGTTTGGTACCAATAGTTTCACCGTATCCGTTCCTTCCACATATGCAGCCCTAATAATGTGTCCATGAATATTACTAAGGTTCTCTTCCTGTATTCTGTACTTTGTTTCATTCATTACACCCTTTGCATGTTGTACTATCGGGTATCTTTACAAAAACTCTTTGAATGGGTCTATTCCATCCACCATCGGTAGCCTGACCAACCTAGTTTGGCTGTGAGTATCATCATGGGAATAAGACAGAGAGCCAGCATCTAATCGCACAGGTTCGGAAACCAGAGGACCTGCAATGGTGGGCCCTATACCCTAAGCATGAGCACAGGGCCAGGGCGCTGGGTTGAGCCAGGCCATTGACCAAGGAGGCCATGTGTTTTTTTCTATCTCGCTCTCCAATGTTCTTCTACGTTTTATAATCTTTTGGTTCAATGTTTTGTGTCTTCATCTTAGTACATGTGAAACCTGGTGCATGTATGCACCATCAGGAATCATGATGGCAATGCCCTAGCTGGGGCTAAACCGTTTATTATCTGTTATTTTATGTACAGCAATGTCAGCTGGAACAGCCTCACTGGCCAGCTCCCTCCAACAGTTGCCAATCTCACTCTTCTTGATTACTTGTAAGGCATCTTCACATATGAAAATGCATTTTCTACCTTTCTAGCTTTGAAGCATCTCACAAAGTGGTGTACAAGGTACCTACGTAGGTGTTCCACTGGTGAGGTGTTCCACTGGTACATTGCACCCACAGGTAAGATATATTCAACCATTCAACGTACCAAGGTCACGACTTGGGCTGGATTGGCCGAATCCTGATATGCCTGCCATCCAAGGTGCAAAAAAACGACGTTTTTTTCAAGATTTGATCGTAAAACACCGTATCGTAAGAAACGATCGTAAAAAAACGATAAAAACGGATTTTGAAAATAAATACTTTTGGTGCAAAAAAACCTTCGATTTTTTCAGTAAAAACACCAAAAATGCTGCTGAAACAAGGGGATTGATTGGTGAGAAGAACAAGGGGGCCGTTAGAAGTGCTGATGATGCAGCGGAAGATTGTTAGAAGTGCTTTTGTGATCAGAACGGCTTCTTTGAAGTTGAAGAGTTCTTTTTGTCTAAAAGGTACCGTAAAATACAATCGAAAAAAACAATCGTATTTTTCGACAATCGTTTTTTTCTACCTTGCTGCCATCTATTGAACCGGGCTGCTCAATGTCAGGCAAAACAGACCAATGTATGCTTTGCGAGTACTCTCATAGCTTGATAACACTCCGTGTGTACACAGGGACTTTTCTTGGACTGCAATAACATGCCCTCCTGACTACAGCAGCTGCGTGGTCCCATAGACCACTTCAAGTGCTTTCTGCAAGCAGTCTGGTTCCTTCTGCTCCACGTGTGACAAGACACCACCAGGTGATAAGCAATCTCCTTATGAATGTAGCTCCAACTTCTACTGTCGTTTCTGCATTGCTCTTGTTATTGATGAGTGCATAAACACTGCTTTGCCTTTTATATAACAAGTTTTTTCCAATGTTAGGCATTCGCAACTTGGCCACTTCTCATACGGAATCCCATACATGTTGTGCTTCGGATGTATGCCTTCTGATGGGTACTGAAGATTATCTGCTCCAGCATTTCGATGCCTTCCTTCACTTTCTCTCCCTGTGCAAACTGTACCTTTTCTTACATCCCCTTACACCTCCCCATCGCCAGTGCCAACACCTTCCCCATCGCCAGTGCCAACACCCTCCCCATCGCCAGTGCCAAAACCCTCCCCATCGCCAGTGCCAACACCCTCCCCATTGCCAGTGCCAAAACCCTCCCCATCGACTGTGCCAAAACCCTCCCCATCGCCAGCGCCAACACCCTCCCCATCGCCTGTGCCAACACCCTCCCCATCACCAGTGCCAAAACCCTCCCCATCACCAGTGCCAACACCCTCCCCATCGCCAGTGCCAAAACCCTCCCCATCACCAGTGCCAACACCCTCCCCATCGCCAGTGCCAAACCCCTCCCCACCTCCTCCCACGTCAACTCCCAGTGAGCCTACAGCCTCTTCCTCCCAGTCTGGAGGCGGTTTATCCAATGGAGCCACTGCTGGCATCGCAGTTGCTGGTGCTGTGGCTGTCCCCGTGCTGCTGCTGCTCAGCTGGCTGCTGTGGAAGCGATGCTACACCAACGGGGCAGCAGCAGGACGCGATACCGGCAAGGATGTGAATGGCAAGGGTTCGGATAAAGAGAGTGCGCACCAAGGTAAGATATCTCCAACGCATGATGTTCAAAAGCCATCATCATTCCCAGCCTCCCTCTGCAGTTACCATCCACTCTTGACTCCTCATCTTAATCTTATCTCCTCCTTCACAACCACAGGCTCGGAACACGATTTTCCAAAGGCAGCATCCAATGCAAAAGAGAGCAAACCAGAAGCAGCAGCTGCAGCAGCGGCTGTGGCGGCAGGAACAGCAGCACGGGAGAAGCAGAGAGACGTGGTGGTGGAGATGGAGGCAGTGAAGCCACATGTGTGCCAGAAGTTCACTCTGGAAGAGCTCCCAAGCACAACGGGAGACTGGGCAGAGGGGAACAGGATTGGTAGCGGCAGCTTTGGAGATGTGTACAAGAGCGTGTCACTGCATGACCCCAATGAGATGTGGGCTGTGAAGCGATCTAGGGTCCTCTCCAATGACTTTCTGACTGAGGTACCAGACGGTGCTAATGATGCTTCTGGTTTCACACTATGAATTATATCGTCATGCTGTTATTGAATGACCTTTATATTCAGATGTGTGTGTGCACGCACGCGCACGCGCACATTCATGCACAAACATGCATGGACAGATATACACACATATACACACACACACATGCACATTCACAGATGTTCACGCTTCTTCTCTCCCGAGTGATTGTTTTCCTACTCTCACCTTGCAGGTGAAGGAGATGGCTAGCAAGCACCACCCCAACTTGGTGCGCATGTTGGGATTCTGTGTGAACTTTGACCCGGCTACGAGTCTCGTGGAGCAAGTACTTGTGTACGAGTTCATGGTCAATCGGGACCTCGAGAGCTGGATTGGACCAAGTACATAAGCTTCTCTCTACACCTGACATCTTTTTTTTTTTTTTTGCACCAGCAGACTCCCTTTCACCTGGAAGCTGCACCTTCGAATTAGGTTTCAGAGTTCGCACTTTTCACCACAACCATTCATTTCGTCATTCGCGAATTCTGATCACATGTCAGCATTTTCAGATTTTAACACTACTGTAACCATTTTTACGCTTAATCATCAACTCAAATAAAATCCTTTGGCATGGAAAATTGGTTTTCACTCTTTCGGTTTTCAGGTGCTCCAAGCCCCCTTTCATTCTTGCAACGACTTGAAATTCTGATTGGGGTTGCCAAGGGGTTGCATTATCTTCATGATTTTGGCATTGTGCACTGCGACATCAAGCCAGCCAACATTCTTCTTGATGCAAAAATGCAAGTATGTATAGCGCCGTTTTCTGCATGCATTCTCTTTGACCTACATATACTTTCTGTTCTTTGCATGCTTTGACTGAACGAAAACAATTGGTGCCGCCCAACATCTGAATTTTTACTACATGCACATGTGACTATTGTTCAGGCCAAGATCGCAGACTTTGGGCTAATGAAACTCACTGGAGGCACCGCTATGGGCACTTCTGTAGCTGCCACTCGAGTGATGGGAACACCAGGCTATGTGGACCCTGCCTTCTACAAGTCCCAAAAGGTCACTCCAGCAGCAGACATGTACAGGTGAGAGGGCAAAGACGGCTCTTTTGAGTTGTCTAGGAAACCATCTACTGCTGCCACTTAAGTGTTGGGAACACCAAACTATGTCAGTTTTGCTATCTACAAGTCACAAGGCCACTCCAGCAATATATGTGGAGATGTATTTTTCGTTCTCCGTTTGTGATGCAGGTAGGGAATATTTTTTTTTTGTCAGCATGCCTCACATTTATCTCCATTCTGGTCCCTGTCCCTTTTGGTGGTTTGGTGTTGACAGCTATGGTGTGGTGATGTTGGTGGTCATCTCGGCACGCAAGGCCGTGCATGTGAGCGAGACCAGCCAGATCAGCCTCAAGCAATGGGTGAGGCACAGTTGCTTGGTACATACTGCCTGAATGCTTCGTGCAATAATTGCACGACCAATGCCCATTCCTCCACTCATTGGCATGAAGTGCAATAAACCATCAGCCGTATGTCCGCGTGCATGTGTTCCCTTTCATTTGTACAGATCGCCCCATTCGTGGAGTCAGATGCTGTGGCAGTCTTCAAGGACCCCCACTTGGACGCACCAGATAACTTGGTGCTGCGCTGGGCTCGCCTTGCCCTCTCCTGCACCGCCATGCCTGCGGCCTCTCGCCCCTCCATGAGTCAAGTGCTGGGGGAGCTGGTGAAGTTGAAGCAGGAGGCGTCCGGAGCACATGAGAGCCATGTGGGCGAGACAAAATCTCGCATCGACATGGAGCTTGGGAGTTTCGGTGGCTCCTCCAGCTTCACTGCAGAAATGGCCCGTGCGGAGCGTGAGGGGGGCATGCCAAGTGGTTCTTCCTCGTAATAAAGTCTGTTTTCACATGCACCTTACTTGTTTACCTAGAGCTTCCAGTACCAATGGTTTGTGTCATACAAAAACATACATGGGGAAATAAGGCCTGTTGATAGATGTTTCAGAAGGGGTAGTTGTAAGATCTTTGTGAGCAGATTGATGGAACAACGAAATTTGGCTAGGTTCATAGAAAACAACAACTGTATTTTTGGCTTGTCCATAGGCACTTATTTTGTGCTCATCATGTTTTCTGAAGTTCGTAGATATTGCATGCATTATACTTGCTACATTGTAGAATAGCATCATTCACAATCAGTATGGGATATCGAGATGGCATCAACAAATGTGAGGCAAGTGAAGTTCTACACTACGATATAGCAACTCTTTTTCCATCCCAGATAGCTAACCCGCAAAACATCACATTGTCCCTCTATTCTGCGCGTCCGGACATTTTCTACTTTGTTGGATGCCTCGTCAGCTGTTACATGTGGGGAAGAAAGGGTTCGACCCTTTCACAGCTCTTTCATTTCCAATGTCATATGAAATGCGGAAGAGGATGAGCCTTTTGGGAGGAATGAAACCTGGCGAAAGAAGTGTTATTAGGAGCGGGTTTTGAGAGAGAGCTGGGAGGATAATCTCCCGGCAATATGGACTTGGGTGAACAACAGAGCAGGGCATACTGGTATTGATCTATACTCATGAGCATCATACAATTGCCTAGGGTTGTGAAGTCGGGGAGGGGGGAGGGAGGAGGGAAAGGGGGAGAGGGAAGTGGAGGCTCACGTTGAGATGATCACGCAATGGGATAGTGATACCATAATCTCATGGCAAGAAGACCCGGGTTCAAAGAATGGGGTAGTAAGAAATGGACTTCAGTGTCAACCTCACGAATGAGACCATATTGATGGATACGTGCACTACAGGTAAAAATATTGCAACAAAAAGAGGGCAGGAGAAATTGAAAGGTGGAAGAAGGCAGTAGGAAGAGGGGGGCCACCAGGCGGGGGGAGGGTGGGGAAGTGGATGCTCACATTGGCGTATGCTGATGACAATGATGAGCAATGTGCCGAGCACAGATACATTATGAACCCCAAGGCTGACTCATTGACCCATGCCTGACTGACCAACCATGGCTGACTGAATGACAGACCATTGGCTGACTAACTGACTGACCCATGGCTGACTGACTGAACCATGACTGACTGACTGGTCAAACACTGACTAGCTGAGCAAATGCTGACTGGCTGAACCAAGGCGAGCTGACTAACCTGTGAATGTTTGACTGACCCATGGCTGACTGACTGACCTGTGGATCACTAACTGACCCAACGTTGACTAACTGACCCATGGGCTGAATGGCTGACTGACTGACACATGGCTGACTGACCAACCCATGGTTCACTGACTGATCCCAGGCCGACTGACTGACCCATGGCTGACTGACTGAACAACCATGGCTGACAGGCTGACAGACTTACCTATGGTAGACTGACTGAATCAATGTTGACTGACTGGCCCATGGATGACTGAATGACTGACCATTGGCTCAGTGACCGACCCATGGCTGACTGACAGACCCATGACTGACTGACTGACCCGTGTCTGACTGACTGACTGAACCAAGGCCGACTGACTGGCCTATGGCGGGCCGACTGGTCCAATGTTGACTCAGTGACCCATGTGTCGGAATGTGATGTTTGTGTAGCCTGCAGTGGGGTACTCTATAGCGAGTACAGCCCGAATTAGGGTTTGCTATATGTATCTCAACTGCTGCTAGTGAAAACCCCACTTTCCTGTTTCTTGATTTCTGCCTAGTGTTTTGACATGCTATCAGAGCAGCTCGACCCTCCTGGGTCGATCCTGTGGATGGGCCCCAACCGATGCTTCCGCTGCTCTACTGCTTGTAGCGCGCCCCAGGCACGTGTTGTTTCCTGCCTGCCGCGCGCTCCGAGCGCACAGCGAGCGCGCGGCTGTTTTCTGCCCCGTCGAACCGCGCGTCGCCCCCTGTCGACCGTCGTGTCGCCCCCCGTCGCCCAACGCGGCCCGCGCGACCTGCGCCAGGCCCGCGCGCGGCCCGTATGGGCTGCGCCAGGCCCGCGCGCGACCCGTACGGGCTGCGCCAAGCCTACACGCGGCCCGTAAGGCCTGCGCCAGCCCAGCGCGCGGCCCGTACGGGCTGCGCCAGGCCCTCGCGCGGCTCAAGCTGCCCGCGCGCGGTTCGTACGGGCTACACCAGGCCCGTGAGCGGCCCGTACTGTCTCCCCCCTTGCCGCACGCCGTCCCCCAAGCTCCTGACTGCGCCCCACCCCCGCTGCTGCCTGCGTTCCTGTGTTAGGGTTTGGGGGTGGAGAGTATGGGGGTGCCGTGTGTGTAAGCCATCCCTTTCTCCTCCTCCTCCTCCTCCGTCTCCCACTGCTGCAGCTGCCGCTGAGGGGGATGGATGTGTTGGAGCCGTCGGAGTGGTTCGAGGGGGGTGGCGTGTGAGCAGTGCTAGAGGTGCAGCAGGGAGTGTGTGAAAGGGGTGTGGGACAGTTGGGGGAGGTTGACCGGAGGTAGCCGACTTGTCGTCCGCAGCGCCTGAAGTCCAGAGAGCCACGACCCCCTGTAGCTTGAGTAGTCCGGGGCTCTGCGCCCGGTAGCCACAGTGTGAGCACTCCTGGTAGTCTAGAGAGCCACGACTCCCTGTGGCCTGAGTAGTCCGGGACTCTGCGCCCGGTAGCCACGGTGTGTGCACTCATGGGAGCACAGTGAGCCAGCTGCACCTGTCGCCGTGTAGTCCGGGTTTAGCCTAGTAGCGACAGTGCTGCACACTCCTGCTGCTTGTGTGTCTGCAGCTTCAGCCGTCGCCTCCCATCTTCTCGCCCTCACAGTTTCTCCTCCTCCTCACTTGCCCTCTGTGACTGCCTCTATCTTTGCTTATACTTGTGAACAGCTGCTTTGCCTACTTGTTGTGCTGATTGTAACCCACTTTGCCTATGGGGGTGTGTCATAATGTGATGTTTGTGTAGCCTGCAGTGGGGTACTCTATAGCGAGTACAGCCCGAATCAGGGTTTGCTATATGTATCTCAATTGCTGCTAGTGAAAACCCCTCTTTCCTATTTCTTGATTTCTGCCTAGTGTTTTGACACCATGGGCTGACTGAGTGTCTCACCATTGGCTGACTCACTGACCAACGCATGGCTCACTGACTGACCCAAGGCTGACTGAATGACCCATGGCTGACTGACTGACCCATGGCTGACTGACGGACCCATGGCTGACTGACTGACCCATGGCTGACTGACTGACACATGGCTGACAGAATGATCCATGCGCTGACTGACCTCAACCCGGGCATGGGTGAACAGAGTCCCTCACTGCCCAGTTGCTCTCACACCCAGCGTCAGACACACCCTGTGTGAGGACTCGGCATGCAAGCCTGGTCAGCTTGGGGTGGTTGGTCCTATGCCAGCCCAACCACTGCACCTTTTTTTACGTGATATAAGCATACTTGCAAGTTCTGGTGTTTGGTGTAGACTGGGTAAACACCCCGATTGAGGTAAATCCAAGTCTGGATGTAGAACACATGACCAACTTTGATGTGTTGGTTTACCCTTGAACAGCCAAATCTACAGAGATAGCCAAACACCTCAGGTGGATGGTATCAAATTCCCAGAGTAGGGTGCAGTCCAACTCACCCCACTAGGCCAGTTGGGTCCTTGGTCCAACTCACCCCACTAGGCCAGTTGGGTCCTTGGTCCAACCCACCCCACTAGGCCAGTTGGGTCCTCCGTCCAACTCACCCCACTAGGCCAGTCGGGTCCTTGGTCCAACTCAGTTCACAAGGCCGGTTGGGTCCTTGGTCCAACTCGGCCCACTAGGCCAGTTGGGTCCTTGGTCCAACTCACCTTTTCTGCTTCATCTCTTTCGTGAATAAATATCCTGCAACTCATTTGAGATAATGTAACTTGTTCTCCTATGTTCTTCCCTAGCTAACTATATTTATTTCAATAGCCCCATGATCACACAACCCTAGGTAGTTACGTATCTGATATCATAACCCCATGATCTCATAACCCATGATTACGCAACCCCATGACCTAACCCCTTGACCTCATCTCATGATCTCATCACCCCGTGATTTCATCACCGCATGATCTCATCACCCCGTGAACTTCTCACCCCTTGATCTCGTTACCCGATGATCTCATTACCCCATGATCTCATTACGCCATGATCTCATTACCCCGTGATCTCATCACCCCATGATCTCATTACCCCATAATTCCATCCTCCATCACCTCAGATTCCATTACCCCGTCACACAATCATCGAATTTTCTCATCACCCCTTTACCCCATCAACCCATACCCAATCGCCCCATTGTCCCATCACACTCCCACGATGGCATTTCTCATCAAAACCCCTTCTCCCTGTCCATTCCCTTCCCATCGTTTTCCGCCCCTCCTGGCCAGCATTGTCCATCACTGGTCCAATCCGCCTCTCCTGCACCAACCTCCCTGCTCCCTCCCTCGTTATTCCTCTGGCCTCCCTTCCCCACAATCACGGTGCGCATAGTCCAGCCAGTAAATTCCATCCCATGCTGCTTATGCACCGATCAATAATCACTCACCTCTGGGCTAAGGTCAGTAGTGCATTTTTTCGAACCTGCCTCTACCGAATCAGGTGTCTGCTCTCATTTGTCAACTGGCTAGCCACCACTACCATTGCCACCCCATCATCTCTTGGATCCGCCCTTTCCATATAAGGGACTCAGTACCTTGATCTCATCACCACATCACATCATCACACGATCATCCCGTCACCCCATTAACCATTTACCCATCTTCCCATCACCCCATCATACCATCACCCCTTCGGCCATCGTCCCATAATCGCGGCATGCGCTTGCTTTGCTGTTGGCCCTCACTGCATTTGTTTGTGCGCCACTCCCATGCTTGCACAAGTAACAAGCTACGAAACAGAGGCCGGGAGATCCATGCTCTTGCACCTTAGATTTCCTTCCCTCGCC